AAAGTCAAAGGGCCTGAGTTTTTATTTTTGAGTATGTAACATTTTAAATGTTCAAAGCTTGAATTCTATTGACCTCAGTTATTGCTGAGCACTCACAACTACACTGACAATCAGACCCCAGGTATCTCATGCGGGACACCCAAATAATGGGGTACACAATTAGTGATCACTCGTGCAGTTTGGTTTAAGAGACTTGCTCAGCATCACATAGAAACTCTGTGGCAGAGGCAGGAATAGAATCCAGTTTTCTAGGGCAGTATTCAACTGCCTTAACCATGAGAACTATCTTTTCTCTTCCTGTTGTCCTCAACCTCATTCACTTACGCACCTTCCAACCTCTGCAACAAATGAGGCAGGGTCCTACAGACAACAGCCTCCTTTACTACACAGCCCTGATTCATCCCCAGGGCAGGTCCAGCCTGTGTACTGAATGAGGCAGGTTCTGTGGAAAATAGCATGTGATCGTGTAATTAAGGTCTGTAACATAATGCATAAGCACAAGGGGGCTCAATTAGAGTTGCATGTGTATCCTTAATTCTGGCATTTCCTAACTTTTGAGCAGTCGGCTGTGTGATCTTAATGTTCGTTTAATATATTTTATTAACTCCTTACATTTTAAAAAAACAAAACAAATTGCCATGCAGAACTACATTGACCTTCCCCACACAGATCATCATCAAGGTGCAGGTAATCATCAAGTTTCAGATCTTTGGCATCAGAACTAACTGTGTAACTGGTAGCAATAGAAGACTGTTATCATCTACATGGACCTGCCAGTACAGGGGAATGAGATACATGCTTTGCCAGTGGATTTCACAGCTGTTTGCTGACAGCAGAGGAATGAGGAGACTTGGGACTCCTGGGTTCAGTTCCAGGTTCTGTAGGGAAGCTACAGACCCTGTGTCCCCTAACTCCTGCCCTCTGCTGTTCTGCTCCTGCCCTTCCCTACCCACTTCTTCTTCCCTCCATCTTCTGTTCTTCTGACTCCTGTTCCTCTCCCCTCTGCATTCGAGTCAAGTCACTCCATTCCCTCCTTCCCCTCGTCATTGGCTGGGCCCAGCAGGTGGGCATCATCTCTCCTGTACTCTCAATCTCCCTGCTCTCAGTTCTGGTGCCTGGCACCATGGTGGCCCCCAGCAAGCAAGAGGAGCAATTGCAGGAAAAAGAGCCTGCTCAGCCCCTGCACTTCAGGGAAGGACCATGCACTGTGGGGATGGCACATAAGAGCTGTGAGGGCACAGAGACTGCTTATGACGGACAGAATCTTCAGAGAATTTAGCTGCCAGGTTCTGAGCAAGTCTCTACTGGGCATTTGTGAACGGAGATCTTTCAGGGTTCTAACCTGGCCAAATTTGGGTGTACTGTCACAGGGATGACAAGTCACGTCCCTGACATCAGGGAGACCTCATCCTTCACCAAAGGCTCTTACCCTGTCATGGGATAAGGGGGAAGGTCCTCTCATGGATCAGTAACTGGTTAAAAGACAGGAAACAAAGGTAGGGATAAATGGTTCATTTTTGGAATGGAGGGGTAAATAGTAGAGTCCCCTAGGGGTTTGTACTGGGACCTGTGCTGTTCAACATATTCATCAATGATCTGGAAAAAGGAGTAAACAGTGAGATGCCAAAGTTTGCAGATGATACAAACTACTCAAAATAGTTAAGTCCAAAGCAGACTGTGAAGAGTTACAAATGGATCTTACAGAACTGGGTGACTGGACAACAAAATGGCAGATGAAATTCAATGTTGAAAACAGCGAAGTGATGATGCACATCAGAAAACAGTTCCCAACTATACATATAAAATGATGGGGAGTCTAAATCAGGGGTGGGCAAACTTTTTGGCTCAAAGGCCACATCGGGGTTGCAAAACAGTATGGAGGGCCGGGTAGGGAAGGCTGTGCCTCCCCAAACAGCCTGGCCCTTGCCCCCTACCCACCCCCTCCCACTTTCTGCCCCCTGACTGTCCCCCTCAGAACCCCCAACCCATCCACCCCCCCCGCTCCTTGTCCCCTGACCACCCCTAACTATCCCACCAGGACCCCACACCCTATCCAACCACCCTGCTCCCTGTCCCCTAACTGTCCCAACCCCTATCCACACCCCCGCCCCCTGAGACTTCCATGCCTATCCAACCCCCCCGCTCCCTGTCCCCAACTGCCCCCCTGGGACCCCACCTCCTATACAACCCCCAGCCTGTCACCTGACCGCCCCCCCAAACCTCTGCCCCATCCAACCGCTCCCTGTCCCCTGACTACTCCCTGGGACTTCCTGCCCCTTATCCAAACCCCCGCCCCCTTACCAGGTCGCTCAGAGCAGCAGGACAGGCTTATTTGAAATCCTGGGAGGTGGGCAGGCGCAAGCCGAGCTGCCTGCATAGCTGCAGGGGAGGGGCTGGGGGCGAGCCTCCCCAGCCGGGAGCTCAGGGGCTGGGCAGGACGGTCCCATGGGCCACAGTTTGCCCACCCCTGGTCTAAATTATCTGTTACCATTCAAGAAAGAGCTCTTGGAGTCATTGAACAGATGTTTTCAGAGAACTATCCACAATGTGCAGCAGCAGTCAAAAAAGCTAACAATGTTAGGAACCCTAAGGAAAGGGATAGCTAATAAGACAGTAAATGTCATAATGCCACTAGATAAAATCTATGGTACACCCACACCTTGAATACTGTTTGCAATTCCAGTTATCACATCTCAAAAAGATAGATTTGAATTGGAAAAGATTCGGGGGGTGGGGGGAATATTATTAGAGGCATGGAACAGCATCCCTATATAGGAGAGATTAAAAAGACTACAGCTGGTCATCTTAGAAAAGAAACAACTAAGAGAGGATATAATAGAGGTCTATAAAATCATGACTGGTGTGGAAAAAGTGAATGAGGAAGTGTTTTCATGTTATGTGAAGGGATAAATAACTAGGGCATCACCTAATGAAATTAAGAGATAGCAGGCTTAAAACAAACATAAGAAAGTACTTCTTCACATAGTGAAAAGTCAACCTGTAGAACTTGTTGCAAAGGGATGTTGTGAAAGTCAAAAGTATAACTGGGTTCAAAAACAAATTAGAAAAGTCATGGAGGACAGGTCCATCAATGGCTATTAGCCAAGATGGTCAGGGTTGCAAACACATGCTCTGGGTGTCCCTAAGCCTCTGACTGCCAGAAGCTGGGGATAGATCATGTGATAACAGATCTGTTCTGTTTCAGAGTAGCAGCTGTGTTAGTCTGTATCCGCAAAAAGAAAAGGAGTGGCTCCTTAGACTAACAAATTTATTTGAGCATAAGCTTTCGTGAGCTACAGCTCACTTCATTGGATGCTCTTCTGATCATTCCCTCTGAAGCATCTGGCACTGGTCACTGTTGGAAAACAGGATACTGAGTTAGATGAACTCTGGTCTGACCCAGTATGGCCATTCTTATATTAATCCCTGCAAAGTCTCTGCTCCAAAGAATGGAGGCACCAAGGCATCTCAATGAAATAATTGTCTGAATGTTAATGGATGGAAAAACATACTTCCCTTAATACTGGTCTTGGAAAAACCTGAAACATTTTAGCTGATGCTTCCCAAAACATTCACCCACAGGCCGATACCAGGCATGAAAAACTTCATCCCAAATAGTTTGGCAAATTTTATAAGCAACTGAAAACGGGTCTTATAATAATGGAAACATCAGGCACACTTAACTGTAGGCAGCTCTACCTACATCACCTATTCTAAATCTGCCAAATAAAGCACACAACCACTCCCAGCACTCTCTTCAGGAAAATCTCCCACTGACTTCAGTGCTCATAAATCCGTTTAAGGTATCTGTGTATGAAAGGTCATATATACATGTAAGATCATTATCATTAAATAGCATGAGTCCTGACTTCATGACAATAGCTGAAACTATTTTAAAACCTCTCAATCAAAACTTAACATGTTGCTGTGTATAGGTGTAAAAATGCAGATATCAGGATATACAAGATGTTTGTATCTGCAGTAATATGAGGATGACTGTCATAAACACTAATCCTTTCTCTAAATAAGTCCCTCTTGCTTTAGGGCTGAACTATTACAATAAAATTAATCAAAATAGTTTCCATTTGATAATGGAAAAACCCCACTATAAAAAACATAGTTTGCCTCAGTCATTTAAAAGTTTCAATACAGAGTGTTTAAAACTAGATATTGGTCTTTCCCAGCTTCAAATCACATCTTAAACTAATTCAGTAATGTGTGGCACATGAAAGCTTACATTAATGGATAATACTCCAAGAAAAATGCCCAATCCTATAAACAGCTATATATAATAGAAACAAGAGGCAGAATGAAATAGCAGGCTGTTACTGTTACCATAAAAATGTGTTAAATGTATGTTGTAAATTGATTGGCTTAAGATCTTGCCAACTTGATGAAGTAGGACTTGATTTCTCAGTGCATAATATAAATCTGGGGCTCACTCCAGCATGGCTGAATATAACTCCTTGTCCCTGGCCATGGGATTTAAGCAACTCTAGCCAATATAAACCTCCATACCCACTCAGAACAAATCCCAGTGTGTCTTTTCTCTACTCCCATTAAAGTAACATATTGTGTATAGACAGAACTCCAGTTTCAGAACAAACAGCCACAGGAACAAGCAAAGACACTGTGTCAAACCTTGCATATCTTTCTTTGCTAGCAATCCCCCTGGATTTCACTGGCAAATGAGAGCAGAATGTGTCTAACATGTACAAATCAGTCCCATGTACAGAATGGAGGGACCTGAAATTCGTTAGGTGATATTCATGCTGAAACAAATAGTTTAAATGGAATTAACATACAACTGTATAAGGACAGAACCCTACAGATGCTCTCTGCTGCATGCCATTCCAAAAGCAGCAACACGTTGTTATTGACTCCTAGTGCCTGAGGATCAGCTAGGCAAGTGCTTAAAATAAGGGCAAAAGCAAACTAAATAGCATTTGTGCTATACTGTCATTGACCTTCTTACATCAGAGATGGATTTGAATAATTACCCTGAAAGCCAGCAAAATGCACACAGTGTGGGGCTGCCTGAGTAGGGCTGGATTTCAGTTGTGTCCAGCTGTGAGTCTCAAGACTAAGAATCTCCTTTTAAGAAAAGAACAGATAGTTAAAGAACATACTTCAAAAGGAAGTGTTGTAACCACTTAAAGACCTTTACACATGAACACTGGTTGCACAGATATTCTGGTAGGCCATCATACATCCTTTCCAGTCAACAACCTCTGAACTGCATATAGAATATCTCCAACTCTTGAGTTGGGGAGCATAAAAATAAGTATAACCAATTAAAACTACAGGCCAAACTCTGGCCTGCTGTAAGCATCCCGTCCCGTCCATGTCTCTCCTCCATCACCCTCCCCCCCCCACACACGCAGCCGATGCCAAAATATCACTCTTTATGTACTCTGAATTTAAAACCCTCTACAGAGCCCTGTTCCAGACCTGAATTCATGACCAACATAGGGGAACAAGAAGCCCTGAAGGTCAGATCCACAAATAACTATAAAATCCTTAAACCTCTAGTTTGCCCCACCTCAGAGAGCTTATAGTCAATCTCTTTGGTATATATCTGGATGGTACCCTACATAATGGGGGCTAGGGCCTCTAAGCACTGCTGTGACACAAATCATGGGATCATGTAGTTAGACTGAATCATAATGCAAGTGCACAGGGAGCCTTCATTATGGTATTTCCTAAATTTTGTGTTTGACTTTGCAGCCTTAGTAATGTGTGGAAAGCAATGACTAAAGGGGAATATGATAGAAATCTATAAAATCATGACTGGTGTGGAGAAAGTAAATAAGGAAGTGTTGTTTACTCCCTCTCACAAGAACTAGGGGTCACCAAATGAAATTAATAGGCAGCACGTTTAAAACAAAAGGAAGCATTTCTTTCACATAATGCACAGTCAACCTGTGGAACTCCCTGCCAGAGGATGTTGTGAAGGCCAAGACTATAACAGGGTTCAAAAAAGAACTAGATAAATTCATGGAGGATAGGTCCATCAATGGCTATTAGCCAGGGTGGACAGGGATGGTGTCCCTAGCCTCTGTTTGCCAGAAGCTGGGAATGGGCAACATGGGATGGATCACTTGATTACCTGTTCTGTTCATTCCCTCTGGGGCACCTGGCATTGGCCACTGTCGAAAGACAGAATACTGGGCTAGATGGATCTTTGGTCTGACCCAGTATGGCCGTTCTTATGTGTAATATCCTAGGCTTTCAAAAAAACAAACTGAATGAACTCTGTTTATTCAATCATATGGACACTGACATGGCTCATTAGTAAGGGTTGCAATCTTTAGATCTACTTGAACTAATGGAGTAACTGATAGCAGTAGTAGGCTCTCCTCCTCAGTGGACCAGCACTAGAGGGAGATGAAACATTTTGTGAATGGGGTTCACAGATGTTTTCTCTCAGCAGAGGAATGGTGAGACTCAAACCTTGGCCTCCATTCCCAGCTCTTCAGTGGACTGTGCTCTATGGGGCAAAACTCTTCTGCCCATTCCCTCCACCCGAAAGTGTGACCTCTCTGCCCTGCTCTCTCTAACATGTCCCTGTCCTATCTCTTCTCCACCCTGGCTCCTCATCTAACCCCTCTCCTCACCTAGACAATCCCAGTCTCCACTAAACAGGTTTCTCATCCCAGTCTCCCTGCTCAGTTTGCACCACTGCCCCCAGCTCCTTGTCCCAATCTCTGCGCAGCCAGTCCCAGTTTCCCCAGGCTTTTCATCAGATCTTCCCCCTGTCCAACTGGGTCTCAGTCCCAGTTTCCTTCCCTGCCAGTCAGTCTTCCACCCAGTCTCCCCACACTTCCCCTTCCAAGCTTTGTCCACCCAGTCCCACCCCCATCCCAACTCCCAGTCTTTCTGTCCCTACCTTCCCACCAGCCACCAGTCCAGTGTCTTCCCCCCACCAGCTATTTGTCCTAATCTATTTCCTATTCCCCCTGCAAACCAGCTTTCCCCCCCTCCATTTGAATCAAGCAGCTGCCTCCTCCATGCCACCTGGGCCCAGCAGGGGGGCATTTAGTGCTTAGGAGAGAAGCTCTCTCTGCTCTCAGTTCAGGCCTCCAGACCCCAGCACAACCTGCAGCAGTTCAGAGCTGCAATTACAGGGAAAGTCCTACTAAGCCCCAGGCTGGAGTATGCCCAGTGCAGGCAAAATCTTTAGGCATTTAACTGGCAAACTTTAAAGTCTCTAATGAGTATGTGTGAACTGCAACTGGGGGCACATCTATACTGGCAGAGTTACAGCACAGACAGTTACAGTGCCGCTCAGAGAGTGCTGAAGGAAAACCGCTGTTGTGTGTTCACACTGTCAGCTGCCTGCGCAATAGCATGTTTGCACTTGCAGTGGTATTTGGAGCAGTGCACTCTGGGCAGCTACCCCACAGAGCATCTCTTTCTCTTCTGCCGCTAACTTGTGGGAAGCCAGAGGGGGTCACGGGGCATCCTGGGTCCTGTCCCATTGACCTAGGATGCATTGCTTCGCATCCCAGCAATCCCTGTGCGTCTGTCTGCATTTAGCACCATCTTTCAACGGTTTGTGTACTGTGCACCCTGTCTCTTCGGGCTGCAGGAATGGATCCCGAACTGCTGACCAACATGTCCCGAGTGGCAGGGCAGTTATTCCTTAAACTACAAAGGCAGGAGGAGTGCGACATTGATCTCACCACACATAGTAGCTACAACATGAGCTTGCTTGTGGCATTCACGGAGGTGCTGACCACAGTGGAACGCTGCTTTTGGGCTCAGGAAACAAGCACTGAGTGGTGGGATCACATCATGATGCATGTCTTGGATGAGGAGCAGTGACTGCAGAACTTTCGGATGAGGAAAGCCACATTCATGGCACTGTGTGATGAGCTCACCCCAGCCTTGCAGCGAAAGGACATAAGAATGAGAGCTGCCCTGCCGTTGGAGAAGCGTGTGGCGATTGCACTATGGAAGCTGGCTACTCCAGACTGCTACTGATTGGTTGCTAATCAGTTCGGCATGGGCAAGTCTACCATTGGACTCGTGCTGAAGGAAGCGTGCAGGGCCATTAATTGCATCCTGCTCTGAAATACTTTGCACAAATGGGCTTCCCTAAGTATGGAGGGGTGATAGATGGCATGCAGAGTCCAATTCTGGCACCAGCCCACCTAGGCACTGAGTACATTAATTGGAAGGAGTATTTCTCTATGGTTCTCCAGGAGCTTGTGGATCACCATGGGCATTTCACAGATATTAACGCAGGCTGGTCTGGAAAGGTGCATGACGCACGCATCTTTCAGAACACTGGCCTGTTCCGGAAGCTGCAAACAGGGACTTTCTTCCCAGACCAGAAGATCACCGTAGGGGAAGTCGAAATGCCCACTGTGAGCCTGGGAGACTCTGCCTACCCGTCCATGCCACGGCTTACGAAGCCAGGCCCAGGCACCTTGACCGCAGCACGGAGCAGTTCAACAGCAGGCTGAGCTGGCGCAGAATGACTGTGGCGTGTGCTTTCGGCCGCTTAAAAGCCCGCTGGCGCTGCCTGTAGGGGAGGCTGGACCTGGCCGATGACCTAGTCCCAGGCTTATAGCCGGGCGCTGGCGCTCCACAGGGTGTGTGGCGGGAGGGCGAAAGCTTGGCCCAGGGCTGGCGCGGAGGCCAGGGCTCTGAGCGGGGCCCCAGGGATCGGCGGCGCCTTGAGGCGGCAGTTTGACGCTTCAGGCTGGAGCCCGGCCGCCCTGCGGGCTGCTCAGGCCGCCGGTGGGCCGGGCCGGCCCCGCCCCCCACGAGCCGGGGCAGGGCACAGACCGGGCGCCCCGCCAAGGCCCCGCTCGGGGCTCCCCCGGCTCCCCCTTCGCCGGGGAGGCCCCAGCCCGCTCCTGCCGCCGCCGCAGCTCTGCGCCCCGGCCCCGCTCCGGGGGGGCCTGCTCGGCTCTCCCCGGCCCGGCCCGCAGCACGGCGGGGGCCGCGACCTGTCCCTGGCGGGGCCCGTCCGCCCCCCCCCACGGAGCCGCTTCCCGCGCGGCAGGAGCGGGCGGGGCCCGGGCCGGGGGCGGGGCCGGGGCCGGGGCGCGCGGCAGGAGCGGGCGGGGCCCCGGGCCGGGGGCCGGGGCCGGGGCGCGCGGCAGGAGCGGGCGGGGCCGGGGCCGGGGCGCGCGGCAGGAGTGGGCGGGGCCCGGGGCGGGGCCGGGCAGGCAGCTCGGGCCTGGCGGTTCCGCTCACGCGCCGGCGGGAAGCCCGGCGCCCGGTGTGTCGCGTGTGAAGGCCGCCGGCCGTTGCGCATCGTGACTGTCGCGACCGTGGCCCGGCGAGGTTTTGCGTCTCACCAGCTCCCAGTTCCGCCGCCGCCCCCACTTTGCCCTTATTCGAGATGGCCGCCGCCTCCCTCTGAGGACCAGGGGACCGAGGCTATAGGCTGCCCTCAGTCAAGATGGCGGCCAGCCCCAGGCGGCTCTGCGTGTGGCCGTGAGGCCGCCCCTAGTGAAAATGGCCTCCCAGGGGGCCGAGGCCAGGCTGGCCTCGGGGAAGACGGCGGCCGCCTGCGCTCCCGGGAAGGAGAAGGGGGCCGTGAGGAGGCGCCTGAGCCGCTCGAACAGCCTTCCCCGGGGTGACTGAACCCCAGGCCTTTCCCCCAGCCGCCTGAACCGCCCGGGTTTTATGGCCAGGCAGTTGCTGGGCAGCCCTAAGAGGGGCCCTCATGCAATGAACCATAGAGCAAAAGGGGCGTGGGCAGAGTAGCCGCAGTGCCGGCCCTATGGCAGGAAAGAGCCATAGAGCTGGAGGGGGCTGGGAGTGCGCCCTCTCGTGGCTGGAGTGCGTCACTGCCGCTCAGCAGGTTCCAGGCTGAGCAAGTGCAGACGGGCTGAGTCTGATCCGGTGATGCTGCTCCCATGGGCGCTAGGGACCCAGCTCTGTGAGCCCTGGTCTCCAGGTGCACGGGGGCATGGGGCTGAGCCTGCGCCCGGGCAGACAGGGACAGTGGGATTGGCAATGGAGGGGGGAGAGAGCCTGGGGGCTGCTGGATACACAGCGTGAAACCCCAGTGTGTGTAAATGGTGACTTCCTCTCATTAGGCAAACGAAGCCATGTCTAATCATCTCATTATGCAAATGAATTCATGCCCTAATCTGCAGACTGGTGGACCCTCAGCCTTAACAAATGTGAGCAGTGACAAGTGGCTGTGGGGCAGAGAGAGAACGGGAGGGGTAAGAAACTGAGGGGGAATATGGTAGGGCAGGGAGCTGTTGGGGAGCATGATGATGTGAGGGGCAGGGACAGGATAGCGAAGAAGGAGGGGGATAGAGAGTGCCAGGGTGAAAGAACTGTTGGGAAACCAGTGCTGGGGGGCTGCCCCCCAGCAGGGAGGCTGCCCTTCTAATCAGTCAATTCCAGGTTGAATTCCTGAACCAGAGATGGTAAAACATGTAGGAACCCTGATACAGATAAACTGGATCAGACCCAGGCCCCATCTAGTCCAGTGTCCTGTCTCTGAACAGTGACTAGCACCAAATGCTTCAGAGGAAGATGCAAGAAACCGCATAGTAGCAGTTATGGGTTAATCTGCCCTTCATACTAGGTTTCATCCTGGTCTAACAGTTAGATTGGTTTAGGCCCTAAAGCAGGAGGTTTAGTATCCCTTCTAAAGTGTAGTTGTCATTCATTATAACTCTGGACAGTCATTAGATACATATAAATGATCACTTGCTTTTTTTAATCTTGTTAAATTCTTGGCCTTGACTACTTCCTGTGGCAGTGAGTTCCACTGACTAATTAGAGGTTGTTTGAAAAAATATTTCTTGTTACCAATTTTGAATTTGCCCCTTTTTAACTTCATTGACTGGCCCTCAGTTCTTACGTTGCAATGCAGGGAGGGCAGAAGTTGGACTGGAGCCTTTGCCCTCAAGGCTCAGGCAAGAATGAAACCAAAACCACCAGACTATTCATTTTTATCACATGATATTTTTTTTCAGGGTCTGACTCTTAATTTTTGAGCCCTTTGCTTGGCAGCATGGCAGGAATGACTCACTGCAATAGAACCAAGTTAACAGCAGAGGGTATTGGCTTGTATAAAGCACTGGCTGTAATCTGCTGACTGCTGTGGAGGAACACAGTATTCCTGTAAAAAGAACAGGAGGACTTGTGGCACCTTAGAGATGAACAAATTTATTTGAGCACAAGCTTTCGTGAGCTACAGCTCACTTCATCGGATGCATGCAGTGGAAAATACAGTGGGGAGATTGATATACACAGAGAACATGAAACAATGGGTGTTACCATACACACTGTAAGGAGAGTGATCAGGTAAGGTGAGCTATTACCAGCAGAAGAGTTTTAAAAAAAAAAAAAACCTTTTATAGAGATAATCAAGGTGGGCCATTTCCAGCAGTTGACAAGAACGTCTGAGGAACAGCGGGGGGGAAGGAATAGTTTTACTTTGTGTAATGACACATCCACTCCCAGTCTTTATTCAAGCCTTAGTTAATTGTATCCAGTTTGCAAATTAATTCCAATTCAGCAGTCTCTCATTGGAGTCTGTTTTTGAAGTTTTTTTGTTGAAGAAATGCCACTTTTAGGTCTGTAATTGAGTGACCAAAGAAACTGAAGTGTTCTCCGACTGGTTTTTGAATGTTATAATTCTTGACGTCTGATTTGTGTCCATTTATTCTTTTATGTAGAGACTGTCCAGTTTGGCCAGTGTACATGGCAGAGGGGTATTGCTGGCACATGATGGCATATATCACATTGGTAGATGTGCAGGTGAACGAGCCTCTGATAGTGTGGCTGATGTGATTAGGCCCTATGATGGTGGCCCCTGAATAGATATGTGGACACAGTTGGCAACGGGCTTTGTTGCAAGGATAGGTTCCTGGGTTAGTGGTTCTGTTGTGTGGTGTGTGGTTGCTGGTGAGTATTTGCTTCAGGTTGGGGGACTGTCTGTAAGCAAGGACTGGCCTGTCTCCCAAGATCTGTGAGAGTGATGGGTCATCCTTCAGGATAGGTTGTAGATCCTTGATGATGCACTGAAGAGGTTTTAGTTGGGGGCTGAAGTTGATGGCTAGTGGTGTTCTGTTATTTTCTTTGTTGGGCTTGTCCTATAGTAGGTAACTTCTGGGAACTCTTCTGGCTCTGTCAATCTGTTTCTTCACTTCAGCAGGTGGGTATTATAGTTGTAAGAATGCTTGATAGAGATCTTGTAGGTGTTTGACTCTGTGTGATGGGTTGGAGCAAATGCGGTTGTATGGTAGAGCTTGGCTGTAGACAATGGATCGGGTGGTGTGGTCTGGATGAAAGCTGGAGGCATGTAGGTAAGCATCACGGTCAGTAGGTTTCCGGTATAGGGTGGTTTTTACGTGACCATCGCTTATTAGCACCGTAGTGTCCAGGAAGTGGATCTCGTGTGTGGACTGGTCCAGGCTGAGGTTGATGGTGGGATGGAAATTGTTGAAGCCCTTGAGGAATTCCACCATGATTTCTTTTCCATGGGTCCAGATGATGAAGATGTCATCAATGTAGCGCAAGTAGAATAGGGGCATTAGGGGACGAGAGCTGAGGAAGCTTTATTCTAAGTCAGCCATAAAAATGTTGGCATACTGTGGGGCCATGTGGGTACCCATAGCAGTATACGTTGTCCCCTGAAGGTATACGTTGTCCCCAAGTGTGAAATAGTTGTGAGTGAGGACAAAGTCACAAAGTTTAGCCACCAGGTTTGCTGTGACATTATCAGGAGTCCTGTTCCTGACGGCTTGTAGTCCATCTTTGTGTGGAATGTTGGTGTAGAGGGCTTCTACATCCATAGTGGCCAGGATGGTGTTTTCAGGAAGATCACCGATGGATTGTAGTTTCTCAGGAAGACAGCGGTGTCTCCTATAGATGCTCTCTCCTGCCTTCCAGGCAGGCCAGGCCAGAACGCTTTCTCACCTGCATAAGAGCTCACCAGTTTAATGAACACTATTGCAGTTGAAGAGCCAAAGCTACGCTCCTAGTTATGTCAACAAAGGCTCAGACCAGCAAATCCAGTAGAATCAAACGGAAACAGACTGTGTGCAAACAGTCCACGGCCAGGCTGGTCTGCATGTAACACTTGTGCCAGCTTAGCTATGTCAGGCCGGGGTGTGACCAACCACCCCCACAGTGATACCGCTGTGCCGACAGAGGTCTCCTCTTGGTGTAGCTAATGCAGTCCAGGGAGGCTGGGTGTTCCTACCCAAGCAGAGCCCTTTCTGTGGGTGTACTCTGTCTCCTCCACCGGGGGTTTAAGCTGGCACAGGCTCTGTAATGCAGACCTAGCCTAAGAAACCTGGACATTCCTCTAGAGAAGGCAAAATCCCCTTCCCTGTATACGAAGGACATGTGCAGATCCCATATCCTGTGTTCCCAAAGGAACTGCTGGGAAACAGGCTTCTCTTGGGGTCAGAAGACAAAGGAAGGTCTCTAAACGGGTGACAACGAAACCGCCAGCACGCAGGCCATGGCTACGCTACAGCAGCACAACGGCAGCTATGGTGCCGTAGCACCATGCGGTAGACGTTTCCTGCTGCACGGGAAGGGGCTTTTCCTTCGGCCCAGGTAACCCAACCCCCGCAAGCAGTGGCCGGGAGGTTTGGGAGAATTCTGCTATCGACCTAGCCACGTCCACACCAGGGCTTAGGCTGGTTTAACCATGGCACTCAGGTGTGAATTTTTCACACCCGTGAGCAGTGTAGCTAGCTCAATCTAAATGGTAAGTGTAGGCCAGTTGGGGTGGGTGGGGGGTAATTTGGTTGTGATTGAATCCATGCTCAAGCAGTTGGTACCTTTGTTCCCCAAACTCCTGAGGGCAGCCCCAGTTAGAATGAACCCTGCAATTCCATCCCAGGTCGGAGCAGAGTAACCAGAACTCCTGGAGGGAGCTGGCTCGGGGGCCTCGTCAGCCACTGCACTGGCTCCTATGTGGAAGACAAGAAATCTAGGCCCCAAAGTGAGACATAATACACATGCATACACAGGCTTATGCTATGTGTCTGACCAGTTTTCAAGCCCTTTTCTTAAGAAACCGGTCTCCAGGAGCAGGAATCACTTTCCTTCAGCCCACGTGCACTGAAGATGACGGGGACAGGGGCACAATTTGTAAGGAAACTAAAATAAAATTAAGCTATTCTCTGTGCAGCCAGTTCTCTTGCCTGATGCAACCCAGCTCTGGCCTGTCGTTCTCTGGTCTCTGGGTCCTTCTGGTGTCTGGCCCCAAAGACACCAAATGGCAGCTGACAATAAATAACATTGGGACCAAAGCTGACCTTGGCGTCCCACACAGTAAAATAGGGACCAGGAACCAGTGACTAATCTCCATGGTGCTCGGGGGCTGCAGCAGCTGCCAAGCACTTGGAGGATGAGAAATTAGAGATAAGACTGTTCTTGAGAGCCTCAAAGGCCATGTCCCCACTAGGGAGCTTGTAGGAGTGCGCTGTTACAAGCTCTCTAACGGAGCCGCTCTGAGACAGCAGTAGAGGTTGGTGGGAGAAGCAGAGCCATGTCCACACTGGCGCCTAGGTCAGTGTAATGGACGGTGCTCAGGGTGTGGTTTATTCACATCCCTAAGCGACATAAGTGGTGGTGTAGACATGGCCTAACTGAGTGCATTGCCTGCTGCCTTTGGCAACGGGGACAGGCTGCTTCCCTGGGCTGCTACTGCCGGTAGCCCTACAGCTTACCTGCCCTAGGAGATCCATTCCTGACCTGTCTGGTAAATGCAGCTGGGCCTGCTGCCAGGATTGCTCACGGCTGCAGGGGGTCTATGGTAACAGCTGCCGCTCAGCGGCCTGAGGAGACGTTGGTTGTTCTCCGCATTGCCTGGCAGGGCCAGTAACAGTCTGTAGTTAGAGGGAGGGAAGGGAGTTCACCCGTTACTAACTCCTCCCAAAGAACAGGACCTATCCACGCAAAGTGGGTGTGAAAGCCCCAGATCAGAGGGGAGCCGTTCACATTCACTCTGCACAGTGGGAGGTTGGGGGCAGAGCTGCAGGGAATCGGCTGGGTTCTTTCTTTGTCTCCTCGTTTCTGAGCCTTTAGGCTGCATGCAGGGCCCAATTTCAATCTCTTCTCCTCATTTCACAAGTGCTAGAATCAATTTTTTATTTTTTTTTACAAACCCAAGGTGGGGGTCTTTTGCAGTCACGTGACTCCAGGTGCTGCTACTTTTCAAAAAGCACCAACTGTCAGTGTGAGCCACAAGAGCCCCAGCACCAGAGTGCCCACGCTCCGTAGCTGAGCACTTGTCTCCAAGGGCAGTAACAGGGCCCAGCGCAAGGCCATGGGCTCCCTGCGCAGCCATGTCAGCGGCTCCCACCCAGGTGGGAGGCAGTCACAGGGAGCGTGGAGACAAGAGGTGCAGAAACCCAAGTCTTGGCCAATCCTCGCTGCTACTCCATGGAATGGCAGTGTTCGCGCAGACAGAGGGGGCCATTTCTGGGTTGCCTTGGCCTCTGCACTGGTCCCCCCGTGGCCCTGCCCCTCCACAGAACTGAGCCAGCGGGGATGCAAATAAAGAGCCTCGGGCAGCCCTAGCCAGTGCCCCTATTTCCTGAAGGGGGCTCAGCCTGGAGCCATGAGTCTGAGCCTGCCTCTGCCGCCTCCCCGCACAGCCTTCCCTAGCGTTTAATCTGGCAGGAGCGTGGGCTGCCTGCAAACTCCAGAGTGCTGGGGCTTGTCACGCTCCCCCTGGGCCCCTTGGCCGGCAGCCCTGGGAGTGAGTGACAGGCCCGGGGACAGGACAAAGGCATTCTGCTGCCCCCTCAATCTTGAGCCCTAGCTGCACTACCGCTTCCCCTCCCCCTCCTCCCCCAGGCAGCCTGGCTGCTTGCCTCTGCCTGGGCTCCCATACCTACCTGCCTGTGAGTCAGCTGGGAGCAGCCCTGTGGGAGGCCCTGGCTGGCAGAGCCGCACACCTTGGTGCAGGCGAGAGGAGGAAGGGATCCCAGGGCTCCGGAGCAGGGAGAACGAGGGACAGGCCTGAGCCCCAGCGTGCCCCACCTGCCAGCGGGGAGACAAGAAGGCCAGAGCAGGTATTCCCCTAAGCCAGCTTGCTGCACCCAGCGAGAGGAGGGGGAGCACTGCCCTGCTGGGAGGGGAGGGGCATGAGCAATAAGAAGGGGCTGCCCCTGGGGTGGGGGTAGGTTCCCAGCGAGTGGGGCGGACGGGGCTGGGGAGCGAGAGCAGCAGCTGGATTTGGGGAGGTGGGGCGGGCAAGCGCCACCTTCACTCAGGGTGGGTAGGGCGCTGGGTGAGCACCAGAGCTGTGCTGTGCCAGCCTGGATAGGGAGCTCAGGGACCTGCGGGCCGTGCCTGGCATCAGCCCCAGCCCATCAAAGCCCCTGGCATCCTCTCCAAAGAGTGTGGCAGCCAGGGGCTGTGACTGCCCAGCCCTGTGACCTGTCTGGGGCTACTTGCAGGAGCCAGGCGCTGGGCAGCTTCAGCCACCTTCACACCCTCCATCCGCGTGTGGCTCCAGTCCCAGACCCCTGCCAGCCAGCGTGGACCATGCCCCGGTACAGCCAGCTCTGGTGGGGAGACAGCCCAGCTCCAGCACATCTTTGAGCAGGATGTTGCCCTGTCGGGGACTATGCTAGCCCCGTCCCCACTGATAGGTGCGAGAGGCCCCTTGGCTGCTGGGCCTTGGGGGGACTCCGCTGGGGCTGGGATTTAGGGCACTTACTCTGGTGCCTCTGCGCAGCAGGGGTGACGCATCCCAGCTGGGTCTGGGGCGTTCAGGCGGGGCTGTGACCGACCCTCCCAGTGTGCGGCGTGCACCTGAGCCGTGGAGCTGTGGCAGGGACTCCAGTGTGCTCTGTCCCGCTGTGGCACACGCCCTTAGGGCTGGCTGGGAGGGTCACGGAGGGCAGGGCTGAGATCCCTGGTCTCCATGGAAGTGGCCGGGGGCTGAGAGTTTTCCTGCTGCTGCCTGGGCCGCAGAGGACAGAGAAGCACCAGCTTGGCTAACAACTCTCAGAGCATCCCCAGAGCAGGGGCAGTGGGTGGCAGCTCAGGGCTGTCCCTTCTCCCTGGTATCGGTGGGTTCGGCACTGCCCCAGGGACACAGACACTTGCCCCCGGTGAGCACGCTGCAGCCAGGCAGGCCAGTCGTCCCTGCAGCCAGCTCCGTTCCAGCCCAGCTGCGCCCTTTGCCCTGTGGGGAAGGGCTGAGCCGCTGGCGGTGTCGAGGATGTCCTGGCATGAAGCAGCGCTCGGTACTCATGTGGGCTGCAAAGACCATGGAGCAGCCTGCTGGCAGGGGCAGTGCTGAAGGTCGTGTGCCTGTCTCACCTGGGGTCAGGACTCCTGGGTTCTGCTCTGGCTGGGGTCTAGAGGTTAGAGTGGGGAGGAATGGGAGTCCAGCTCTGACCCTAAGTCCCTCTGTGACCAGTGGAGAGCCACTTGAAGCCTCTGTGCCGCGGTTTCCTTCCTGCACACAGGGGTAGCCCTGCGGAAGGGGCTGTGAGGGGCCATCCGGGAATGCCTGAAGGAGTGGGTTAGCTCTGTGCAGCAAGCCAGCAGCAGGGATTTCCCTGACTGCTTCCTCCAGCTGCATGGCAGGGGTCCCTGCAAATACCGCCAGCGCTGGTATGGGCTGGGGAGGACCTCCCTCCCTTAGACCAGCAGCAGCAGCCTGCTCTGTGACCAGCACCGTGCCCCATGGCTCAGGCTGTGCGCTTCCACCAGCAACCTCCCCTTCCCCGGCCTTCTGGCCAGAGCAGTCCTCCTGTTGCAGGACAAGGGCGATTTCCCCCTGCCCTGGGGCGTGGCCTATTGGCCAGGCACAGCCTGGCAGCTGCCTCTGGGGATCCTCCTCCCTGTGGGTCCAGCTGCTCGCCAGCCCCCCAGGCTCCCTCACCTCCCTACCCCCTTCCTGTCCTTCATTAACAAAGGGGTGGGTGGAAGGGGCTTGACCCAGCACAGCCCCACAACTTTGCTGTTGCTGAGCCCGGGCTCATGCAGCACCCACCTCCTGCTGCGGGGAGCCCGGCAGGTCCAGGCGGCACCCTGGCAGCTGGGGGGCACGTGGCTGTATCGAGCTGGCTCCCGGTGCCCTGCAGAGCTGGGGAAGGAGGAGCAGGCGTTGGGACCTGAGGGGATCCCAGCTACCTTCCCTTGCACGGAATTAACCGCCAAGGCAGAAATGCCAGGCCCTCCCAGGCAGCTCTGCCCCGGTGCTCAGGGCAGCGGGGAACGGCAGCCGCTGGCTGGGAAGTGGGACACTGGGGCCGTTGTGAGTGTCCCCCTTGGGAGCAGGGCGGGTTGGTGAGCCCCCCGGTGACATGCAGGGAGCTACGGCTGTTGTGGGAGAGCCGAGGGGAACGGCAGGGCCTTGGCATGCCCGAGGGCCAGGGCACTTGTGCACGTGGGCATGTGCCCTGTGTGCGCACTGAGCCCAAAGCCATGCTGGCCGGGGCCCTGCAGCGGGTGGCTCAGCAGCCCTGCTCCGTGACACTCGCCCCCAGGAAGGCCAGGCCTGGGCCCAGGCAGGGGTGCTCCGAACGGAGCAGCTGCCCAGGACAGACCTGGTGAGGGCCCCCCGCCCGGCCCAGCCTTCCTCTCACTCCCCGTGAGATCCTCCCTATGGTGGCTGACGCAGGACGCCCTCCGCTGCCCCCGGGCCTGGGGGGGGTGGGGGGGGCACGGCTCCATGCTGTGCAGCTGGCTTGGGCTTGCCCGGGCGGGAGGGGCCGGAGGGGCAGCCTGCACCGGGTAGGTTCCTGTTCGCCTTTGGCCTGGCGCCCGGCCTCTGCATCTCTGCCAGGCACCTGGGGCAGCTTGGTGACTGAGCGCCCAGCAATGCCCAGGCCCCCCCAGCGCCAGGCTGCCCGGTCCCACTCTCCTGAGAGGGGGGGATCTCCCATGTGCTCTCTTCCCCTTCAGGAGGCCTGACCCCCCCAGTGCGGTGCTGGGGACGCAGACCCGCCGCATGGCGAAGAGCCCCGGCTGCCGCTGCCCCGGCTGTGCCATCGGCCTGCTCGGCCTGTACAGCTGCCGCTGGGCCAGGGACCAGAGGAAAGGCCTGAGAACCACCAAGGTGAGGGGTGCTGAGCTCGGGCCCTCGGCCTGCCCCTCCCGCTGTGCCGGTCGGGGAGAGCCGGAGGCCCCCCCCCCCCCCGGGCAGAGGGCGTCTCCCTGTCCCCTGCAGTGCGGCAGGTGGGGGGGGCAGCTGTCCTCGCGCCCACGGGCAGCTCTCAGAGGGGCACAGGGCAGCAGGTGCTGGGTCACGGCAGCGCTGCCCCGAGGGGGGCGCTCAGACTTTCCCCTCTGCTCGAGGCAGGGAGCCCTGCCGGGGCTGGGAGCGTCACAAACGCTGGGCCAGGGGAATGGCCATGGTGGGGTTAGGGGGTAAAGTCTCCTCCGGCACGGCCGCATTCCCTGGGAGCAGCGGTGACGTCAGACGCGCTCCCAGCCCTGCTGGGCTCCTGCGCCCACCCTGCACCACAGACAGCCCACAGCCTCCTGCGTGTGCCAGGGTCCCCAAGGCCCCACAGTGCTGGGGCGGGGAGATCCCAGGGGCTCTGCACCGCAGGGGGGCTGGGGCTGTGTGGGGGGCCGGGGGCAGATCCCAGGGGCTCTGCACCGCAGGGGGCGGGGTCTGTGTGGGGGGCTGGGGGGAGATCCCAGGGGCTCTGCAGTGCAGGGGGGCTGGGGCTGTGTGTGGGGCCGGGGGGAGATCCCAGGGGCTCTGCAGTGCAGGGGGGCTGGGGCTGTGTGTGGGGCCGGGGGAGATCCCAGGGGCTCTGCACTGCAGGGGGGCTGGGGCTGTGTGGGGGGCCAGGGGGAGATCCCAGGGGCTCTGCACTGCAGGGGGGCTGGGGCTGTGGGGGGGGGGGGGGGAGATCCCAGGGGCTCTGCAGTGCAGGTGAGCTGGGGCTGTGTGGGGGGCCGGGGGGAGATCCCAGGGGCTCTGCAGTGCAGGGGGGCTGGGGCTGTGTGGGGGGGCAGATCCCAGGGGCTCTGCAGTGCAGGGGGGCTGGGGCTGTGTAGGGGGCCGGGGGCAGATCCCAGGGGCTCTGCACTGCAGGGGGGCTGGGGCTGTGTGGGGGGCGGGGGGAGATCCCAGGGGCTCTGCACTGCAGGGGGGCTGGGGCTGTGTGGGGGGCCGGGGGGAGATCCCAGGGGCTCTGCAGTGCAGGGGGGCTGGGGCTGTGTGGGGGGGCAGATCCCAGGGGCTCTGCAGTGCAGGGGGGCTGGGGCTGTGTAGGGGGCCGGGGGCAGATCCCAGGGGCTCTGCACTGCAGGGGGGCTGGGGCTGTGTGGGGGGCCGGGGGGAGATCCCAGGGGCTCTGCACTGCAGGGGGGCTGGGGCTGTGTGGGGGGCCAGGGGGAGATCCCAGGGGCTCTGCAGTGCAGGGGGGCTGGGGCTGGGGCTGTGTGTGGGGCCGGGGGGAGATCCCAGGGGCTCTGCAGTGCAGGGGGGCTGGGGCTGTGTGTGGGGCCGGGGGCAGATCCCAGGGGCTCTGCACTGCAGGGGGGCTGGGGCTGTGTGGGGGGCCGGGGGGAGATCCCAGGGGCTCTGCACTGCAGGGGGGCTGGGGCTGTGTGGGGGGCCAGGGGGAGATCCCAGGGGCTCTGCAGTGCAGGGGGGCTGGGGCTGGGGCTGTGTGTGGGGCCGGGGGGAGATCCCAGGGGCTCTGCAGTGCAGGGGGGCTGGGGCTGTGTGTGGGGCCGGGGGCAGATCCCAGGGGCTCTGCAGTGCAGGGGGGCAGGGGCTGGGGCTGTGTGGGGGACCGGGGGGAGATCCCAGGGGCTCTGCAGTGCAGGGGAGCTGGGGCTGGGGCTGTGTGGGGGACCGGGGGGAGATCCCAGGGGCTCTGCAGTGCAGGGGAGCTGGGGCTGTGTGTGGGGGGGAGATCCCAGGGGCTCTGCAGTGCAGGGGGGCGGGGGCTGGGGCTGTGTGGGGGGCCGGGGGCAGATCCCAGGGGCTCTGCAGTGCAGGGGGGCTGGGGCTGTGTGGGGGGCTGGGGGTAGATCCCAGGGGCTCTGCAGTGCAGGGGGGCTGGGGCTGTGTGGGGGGACAGATCCCAGGGGCTCTGCAGTGCAGGGGGGCTGGGGCTGGGGCTGTGTGGGGGGCCGGGGGCAGATCCCAGGGGCTCTGCACTGCAGGTGAGCTGGGGCTGTGTGGCGGGGCAGATCCCAGGGGCTCTGCACTGCAGGTGAGCTGGGGCTGTGTGGCGGGGCCGGGGGCAGATCCCAGGGGCTCTGCACTGCAGGGGGGCTGGGGGCAGGGATCCCTGGGGCTCTGCAGGCTCAGGGTGCGCAGCCCTGGGAGCCTCTGAGTCCTCCAGCTCCCATGGGTGGGGCTGAGTAGCAGCTTGTCCCATCTTGTTGGGAATTTGAGAGCAAACCTTGATTAGAAGCATGCCCCACTTGGCAGCAGCAGCAGTTCTGTTCCAGCTCCCTGGGCGTGGGGCATGTGGGGCTGGCCTGTCCGGGTCGGTCCCTGCTTCAGCTGCTTGGATAGGGCACCCGGGCTGCCAGCACGCCCACGTGTACTTAGTAACAGCGCTGAAGGCTCTGTGCTTCCACCCAGGGTGTAACGTACCTGGCAGCCGCACAGGCAGGGCTTAATTTGTGCGGGGTCAGGGCGGTTCTGAGCAGCGAGCCCTGGGGGGGCCGGGGGCATCAGTTATGAATGTAAAAAACTTACTTGAGCCCCAGCCCCTCTTCCATTGCACAGGGCCCTGAGGCCACGGGGATGGCAGCTCCATCCTCACCCAGGGAGGGGAAAGACTGGCCCAAGGTCACAGAGCGAGTCAGGGGAGGGGCTGAGAATAGAACCCAGGAGTCCTGGCCCCTGCTGTATGGACTATTCTGACCCTAAGCTGTTTGAACCCCCATTCGTTCTTATTGGGCTCCTGTGTCTGTGCCTGCCCCATTTGGGGCTGTGGCTCCATCCAGTCCTGCTCCAGCCTGTCCGACATGGGTAAAGCGTGGCATCCCCTGGGTGGTGATCACCTCCCTCTTTCAGGGCTTGGGGGAGGTCCTAGCACCTCTTCCTGTTGTAGCGTGGGGGCAGGGGCAGGCAGAGCACAGAGCCAGGGAAGCAGGCATGATGGCCTCTGGCGGACAGGCTGGGACCAGGCTGCCCTGGGCTCTCCTGCAGGCATGTCTGGGTAGCTGCGCTGAAGGGGCCAGGGTGTGGCTGGCAGGAGCCGCGCAGTCTCTTATGCGGCCCCTTTGGTTTTCAGTGTGACTGTGGCTGGTTGTTCTTCCTCTTCTGCGCCTGCCTCTTCACGCTTGTATGGCTGTACCATGCCCTCATCATCCTCAATGACTTCCACAACCTCAACGAGTGAGTAGGCCCCTCCCTGTCCCCCACTTCCCCCAGCGCCTGGCAGCTCTCTTCCCCATCCCCAGTGCTCCCTCCCCCCATCATATGCCTCCCCAGCTCATAGCACCTCCCTTCCCCACAGTCTGTGCCTGCCCCTGGTGTACCCAGCCTTATCTGACTGTCCTCTCTGCTTGGCAGGTTCCTCTTCAGACAGACGCAGTGGTGGGTAGACTGGTCCATGCCCCTGCTCGGAGTCACGGTGCTGCTGGTCACGTATTCGGCCCTGCTGCTGGTAGGTCCTGCTCTCTGGGGCCCTCGCTGCATCCTGCCTGCTGGAGACGTTGCTCCACATCTCTTGTGCTGAGCTCACTCAGGCCCTCTGCTCTTCGGAAGCTCCTGAACGATCCCGACTGGCCCAGGGGCTGGGGCCGGGGCCCAAGGGGGTGGGCTGACCCAGGGGCTGGGGCCCTGGCTTTCTGAGCGGGGCCCTGCTCTCTGAGATCGGGGTGTCCCAGGAGGGCTGCTGGGCCGGGGCTCAGGAGCTGTCCTTGCAGGAAGCCAGGGAGGATATCAGGAATGGAAGGGACCTCAAGAGGTCATCTAGCTCAGTCTCCTGCACTCGTGGCAGGACCAAGGATTATCTAGACCATTCCTGACAGGTGTTTGTCCAACCTGCTTAAAAATCTCCAATGATGGAGATTCCACAACCTCCCTAGACAAGTTATTCCAGTGCTTAACCACCCTGACAGTTAGCAAGTTTTTCCTAATGTCCAACCTAAACCGCCCTCCCTGCAATTTAAGCCCATTGCTTCTTGTCCTATTCTCAGAGATTAAGAAAAACAATTCACCTCCCTCCTCCTTGTAACAACCTTTTATGTACTTGAAAACTGTTATCATGTCCCCTCTCAGTCTTCTCTTCTCAAGACTAAACAAACTCAATCTCCGCTCATAGGTCATGTTTTCTAGGCCTTTAATCATTTTTGTTGCTCTTCTCTGGACTTTCTCCAATTTCTCCACATCTTTCTTGAAATGTGGCACCCAGAACTGGACACCATACTCCAGCTGAGGCCTAATCAGCGTGGAGTGGAGCGGAAGAATTACTGCTCATGCCTCGCTTACAACACTCCTGCTAATACATCCCAGAATGATGTTTGCTTTTTTTTTTTTCTCCAACCGTGTTACACTGACTCATATTTAGCTTGTGGTCCACTATGACCTCAATGTCCCTTTCCACAGTACTCCTTCCTAGGCAGTCATTTCCCATTTTGTATGTGTGTAACTGATTGTTCCTTCCCAAGTGGAGTACTTTGCATTTGTCTTTATTGAATTTCATCCTGTTTTCTTCAGACCATTTCTCCAGTTTGTCCAGATCATTCTGAATTTTAATCCTATCCTCCAAAGCACTTGCAACCCCTCCCAGCTTGGTATCCTCCGCAAACTTTATAAGTGTACTCTCTGTACCATTATCTAAATCGCTGATGAAGATATTGAACAGAACCGGACCCAGAACCGATCCCTACAGGACCCCACTCGTTATGCCTTTCCAGCATGACTGTGAACCACTGATAATTACTGTCTGGGAATGATTTTCCAACCAGTTATGCACCCACCCTATAGTAACTCCATCTAGGTTATATTTCCCTAGTTTGTTTATGAGAAGGTCATGCGAGACAGTATCAAAAGCCTTACTAAACTCAAGATATACCACATTTATCTTTCTTTCTCCCCCCCCCCCCTTACCCTGTCAAGGAAAGCTATCAGGTTGGTTTGTTCTTGACAAACTCATGACTGCTGACTGTTACTTATCACCTTATTATCTTCTAGGTGTTTGCAAATTGATTGCTTTATTATTTGCTCCATTATCTTTCCGGGTACAGAAGTTAAGCTGACTGGTCTGTAATTCCCCGGGTTGTCCTTTATTTCCCTTTTTATAGATGGGCACTATCTTTGCCCTTTTCCAGTCTTCTGGAATCTGTCCCATCTTCCATGACTTTTCAAAGATAAAAAGGAGGACTTGTGGCACCTTAGAGACTAACCAATTTATTTGAGCATAAGCTTTCCGATGAAGTGAGCTGTAGCTCACGAAAGCTTATGCTCAAATAAATTGGTTAGTCTCTAAGGTGCCACAAGTACTCCTTTTCTTTTTGCAAATACAGACTAACAAGGCTGTTACTCTGAAACTTTTCAAAGATAATCGCTAATGGCTCAGATATCTCCTCAGCTCCTTGAGTATTCTAGGATGCGTTTCATCAGGCCCTGGTGACTTGAAGACATCAAACTTGTTTTTCCTATTTTAACCTCTGATCCTACCTCATTTTCACTGACATTCACTATGTTAGACGTCCAATCGCCACAAACCTGCTTGGTGAAAACCAGAACAAAGAAGTCATTAAGCACCTCTGCCACTTCCACATTTTCTGTTTCCCTCCCTGCCCCCTCATTGAGTAACAGGCCTACCCTGTCCTTGGTCTTCCTCTTGCTTCTAATGTATTGTAGAATGTTTTCTTGTTACCCTTTATGTCTCTAGATAGTTTGACTTGCTTCCCTGGGATCTCACCTACCAATTCCCTGAGTTTGCTGAAGTCTGTCTGCCTTCCTGAAATCCCATTGTCTTTTGCTGTTCTCCCTCCTGCCATTCCTTAGAATCATGAACTGTCATTTCATGATCACTTTCACCCAAGCTGCCTTCCACTTTCAAATTCTCATCCAGTTCCTCCCTATTTGTCAAAATCAAATCTAGAACAGCCTTATATTGTCTCCAATACATTCCAAGAACTGGTTGGATAATCTGTGCCCTGCTGTGTTGTTTTCCCAACAGATGTCTTGGGAGTTGAAGTCCCTCGTCACCACCAAGTCCTGGGTTTTGGATCATTTTGTTAGCTGTTTTAAAAAAACCCTCATCCACCTCTTCTCCCTGGTCTGGTGGTCTGCAGTGGACCCCTACTATGACATCACCCTTGTTTTTACCCCTTTTATCCTGACCCAGAGACTTTCAGCAAGTCTGTCTCTTATTTCTATCTCAACCTCAGTCCAAGTGTGTACATTTTAATATACAAGGCAACACCTCCTCCCTTTTTTCCCTGCCTGCCCTTCCTGAGCAAGCTGTACCCTTCTGTACCAATATTCCAGTCACGTGTATTCTCCCCACCAACTCTGTGATGCCAGCTGTGTCATAGCTGTTTGTTTATTAGCATTTCGAGTTCTTCCTGCTTATTCCCCATACTTCTCACATAAGTATACAGACCTCTCTGATCCGATTTGATTCCCCCCATCCCAGTTCTGTCTTGTCTCTCCTTTATCCCTGCTCTAACAGCCTGTGCTCCCCCAAATTCCAACTCCTTCTCCCAGGTCTCCATGTACATGTATTCCAGCTCCAGCATCTTCCTTGTTCCTCTTGCAGGTTCTTGCTCTGTGCCTGCAGCTCTGTGGCCAGCCCTTGAAGTTACATTGTGTGCACAAGGTAAGGGCCAGCTGGCATCCAGTGCCAACGGAGGGGCCCCTGCACAGCCCATCCCCTCCCCAAACCTAGCATCCAAGCCCTGCCCCAGCCCCAGACGCCGCCACACCCAGCCCTCCAACGGCACAGCTGCCTGCAGGCTCCTCCTGCCCAAAGGCCCAGGGATCCGGTTCAGGTCATTCCTGTTGCCCATGGTGTGGGGAGCCGCGGGGCTTGCATACCCCTCAGGGCTACATGTTGAGGCTCCCCCTGAGCCAGTGCCTTGCCCCACATGCAGTAGGGCCAGTGCTGGCCACACTCACTAATCCATGCCCTGCCTGCTGTCCCTGCCATGCAGAAGCAGAGTGGGCTGCCTGGCAAGGCCCTGGTACCCATCTGGCAGCTTCCCTCCCCCCACCCCCGCCTTCTGTGACAGGGGCAGGGTTTGTTTCTCCTCTTGTGGGGTGATAACTGCTCTGGGGGACAGCACCTGGCATGGTCAGCCCTGGGAGGCTCCCTGAAGTGGGCCAGACCCCCCCACCCCACAGGGGTCTCACTCTTCCTCCAGGGTGAGCCATGAGGCTTCACTTCCCCCTTAGACCCAACCCCTGTGGCTCCAGCCCTCCTGCTTCACACTGAGCTCTGATCAGCCAGTGCCACTGAGACAGACTCCTGGGAGAGACTGGGGCCTGCTGCAGGGATCAGTGCACTCAGCCAGTGTCCACAGGGGCCAGCTGGAACATGCGGGCAGGCCCGAGGCCAGCGCAGAGCTGAGGGCAAAAGCTCAGCCTATCCTGGCTAGCCCAGCCCCGCTGGCGTGAGTTGGCTGTAGAGCCCCGACTCCTTCCAGTCCCCATCTCTTCTCCCCCCAGGCCTTTTGCCCCTCAGCTGGGGGATGGTACGGAGAGGTGGGGAAAGCCTCTCCCTCTGGGTCACTACACATCCATGTCCCGCTGACGGGGTTCGCTGTCGTCGTCTTAGACTCCTCACTGATGTGGGGTCAGCCACAGCCAGTCTTTTTCCACTGAGGCATCCTGGGTCAGACAGCCGGGTGATGTTCATCCTGATGTCTCTTAGCCTCCCCGAGAGCAAACCTTCCTGCCCCCGACCCTTCTCATACAGGGTAACAATATGAAATCGGGGAAACTGAGGCACACATGGTATTCACAGTAATATTACAGACCATTTCCCCCTTCACCACAGGCAGTCGAACTCAGTGTTTAACCCGGGGCAGCAGGGCCCCAAGGCGGGAGGGGCCCAGCATATGCAGGGTGAGGGTAGAAGCGGGGACTCCAGCTGCAGGGGTTGGCTCACCTAGGGGAGGGTAGGCCACAGGCAGGGTCCCCGGCTGTTCTGTGGTGTCTAAGATACACCTGGTCCTAACTGCCATGTGTCCGGCCCCCCAGTGCCTGCTGATCCTCACCACCCTGGTCGTGGCCGCAGCCTTTGTCGCGCTCGATGTGAAGTGGGCTGAGCAGTGGCAGAGCGCACGCATCTCTCTGCAGGTGAGAGCGGAGGCAGAGCCCTTCCTGTGTCCCAAGGGCTCTCCCTATGGCAAGAGGAGACCGGCCTCAGGGCATGGGGGAGGGGATCCACTGGCCTCGCCACCCTGTGGTTAGGCCCAGCCTCAGACACAGTGAGGTTTGGCTGATTCTCCCGCTAGGCCTGTCTGACCCCTGCAGCTCCCCCGCACAACGGACCCTGTGTCGTTCCAGGCTAGGGCCCTCGGGGGGCTCACACTGAGTGCCAGGTGCTGCACGGCCCCAGTGAGAATAAATAGCCACTCCCAGAGCCCTGGGGCAAAGCCGCCTGGCTCAACCCCCTCCCAGAACCTGTCCCTCCTGCCATGGGGACGCAGCGTGGTCACCTCAAACCCAGCGATGCCAGCTGCTGGGCAGCCCAGAGGGCTGGGCTCAGCCCAGCAAGGGGGAACCCTGGGGGGCCGGCTGTTCCTGGCAGCTGCAGGGGAGCCTGGCATGCAGGGTGGGCTGCTGGGAGCTCAGGGTCGGCGTGTCTGATGGGAGCACGGAGCCGGAGTTCGTAGCTGGGCACTGAGTGGTGCTGGTGTGTCCGCCCCACAGGCGACGGGCCCCTTCCTGCACATCGGAGCCGTGGCAGGCATGACACTGCTCGCCTGGCCTGTGGCTGACTGCTCCTCTCGTACTCGCTGTGCAGGTACTCCTGGGCCCCAGGGCGCTGAGCAGGGGTGGGGCCATGGGGACGCGGCTTTTAGTTGGCTCCGCCCTCCCACGCCTCCCCTCTGGTGCGGAGTGTCACGGAGTCCCTGGGCGATGCTCTGGAACTGCTCCCCATGAAGTCAGTCAGGACTCTGGGGTAGTCGCCTTTCTGTGAGCAGCCTGTCTTCAGGACACACAGCTCACACAGCTTCCACCTTCCTGGGTCTGACCTCGGAGCATTCAGCATCCTCTGCCCCTCCGTGCGCTTCCCACAGCGAGTCCGCTCAGGCGGGGCTCCTGGGGAAGCCAGAGGGTCCTGCACCCCAACTTCGCAGTCAGACGTGACTCTCAGCCAGCCAGTAAAACAGAAGGTTTATTAGACGACAGGAACATGGTCTAAAACAGAGCTTGCAGGTGCAGAGAACGGGACCCCTCAGCTGGGTCCATTCTGGGGGGCAGTGAGCCAGACAACCACGTCTGCACTTCACTCCATGTCCCAGCCAGCCCCAAACTGAAAACCCCCTCCAGCCCCTCCTCCTCTGGGCTTTGTTCCTTTCCCGGGCCAGGTGGTCACCTGATTCCTTTGTTCTCCAACCCTTCAGCTCTCACCTTGCAGGGGGGGAAGGGCCCAGGCCATCAGTTGCCAGGAAACAGGGTGTCGGCCCTTCTCTGTGTCCAGACCCCTGCACACACCTGCCCTCTAGGGCTCTGCAAGGATCATACACCCTTACTCCACCCCCTAGATACTCAAGAACTGCCTAGGGGAAACCGAGGCACCCCCACACTATTCAGAGGAAACATCAAGAACAGTCCCACTTCGTCACACGGAGCAAAGGCCTGTCTGCATCCTGCCCCTGGCAGCCTGATGCCGTAGCCCTGCTGAGCTGTGGAGCCTGCTCCCCAGGGCTGCACCCAGAGATGGGCCATAAACGCTGTCTCAACAGGAGCCCAGAGCTCTCCCTGCGCCGCGTCACCTGAGGCCGGGCTAGTGCCCAGTATTTGCCCTGAAAGCGTAGGCTGGGAGGCGGCTCTCCCTTTGTTCTCAGCCATGCAGGGCCTAGGACACGCGGCAGCGGGTTCCCCTTCCCTCCAGTACATGCACACGCGTCCTAGCCAGCACCCCCCATGGCTCAGTCTGTTCATAGACTGGGAGCTCTGCAGGGCTGGGGCAGCTGTGTCTGTGCAGCGGCTGGCATGACAGCCGGGCGCCCCAAGCGCCAGCAACCCTCTGGGCAGGGGCTGTGCGGGCAGCACCCTGGCAGGAAGGGGCTGTGAAGGCCCAGCCATGCAGCGCTGCTTGGTGCCCAGAGACCGTCTGGGCTGGAGCTACCCACGCACCTAAGCAGGCGGCTTGTGAAGGACACTACCTGGCACAGTGCATGGTGGCCAGGGGCATCCGAGTCCCTGGCTAAGGGCTGCTCTGCTGGGGGGCTTAGGGGGGACCCATCGCTCCCTATTCTTGGGCAGGGGTGGGGAGCCCCACACCCGCTGCAGGGGGAGCAGCCCTGGCTAATCCCTCCCCATCTCTGAGTGCCTGCGGTGACGCTGTCCCTGACCAGGCTCTGCCTTGTCCGTGTGTCTGTCTGCAGCCCCCAAGGTACTGCTTCTGCTGGTGTATTTTGGTGTTGCAGCTGCACTGTACCTGGCTCCCCTGATGATCTCCTCCCCCTGCCTCATGGAGGAGAGCCAGCTGCCCCCCAAACCAGCGCTGGCTGGGCACCGCGGGGCCCCCATGGTGAGTAACCTGTGCCCAAGGGCAGCTGCCCTTCCCTGCCCCCCCCCGCCTGCAGTGGGCATGAGCCCTCCCTCCTTAGCTTGGGAGGCACCAGCTGCCTGCAAGCGCTGTGCCAGGGAGCAGGCTGGAGCGGCTCGTGCCAGCTTGGAGGCAAAGGCAGGTTACAGCCCTCAGTGCAGGTGGCTGGGTGTGTGTGTGTGTCGGGTGGGGAGGTGCCCTGTGCCCCTGCCCTGCCCTGGGTCCCAGAGAGCAGCGTTCCCTGCTCACACTGCAGACACAGGCAAGCAGGTAACCCCCAGAGAGCTGCCTCCAGTCTCCCGAGACCAGCTTGGGGAGGGGAGTCCTTGCAGCCTGCCCTGTGGGTAGCCAGGCTGGAGAGGGTGTGGGGCATGGTTGGCAGGGGCTGAGGCAGCCCTTGGGGTTGAGCTCTCACACATGGGGCCAGGAGCTAATTGGGACGTGTTTCTTCTGGGTAGAATTTAACCCCAGCCCTGGGCTCCCCCGACCACCACCAATACCCCTCAATCCCAACCCACAGACCCCCTGCTTGCCAGCACTGGAGACCCCCCTCCCACTCCTGCCTATGCCCCTCAATCCTGCCCTGCAGCCTCCTGCTATCCCAGCCCTGGGTCTCTCCTAGGCAGAGCTGGGGATTCAGCTACTTCCTGAAATCCCACCACTGCCTTAGATCAAGCCCAGCAAACTCACTGCATGTCTGAGCCCAGAAGATTCGAACTCGGCACAGTGGGGCAAGCACCCAATGCGCTGCACCCCTGCCCCTGCCCAGCTTGGTTTGCCTGTGTCCTCTCTCCCTTGTTTAGCTGGCTCCAGAGAACACCCTGATGTCGTTCCGGAAGTCAGTGGGCTGTGACGTGCGTGTGTTTGAGACCGATGTCCTGGTGAGGTAAAGTGACACCCAGGGTCTCCAAGGGGAACGTGTGCTCGGCTTGCCTGCCCCAGCTCCCTGAGCCCCAGGCCTGTGCCCACTGCCCCCTCTGGGGTGAAGGGGGCAGCTCCACGCTAGGGGAGACGTCTCCAGGCACCAGCCTGGGCTTTGTGAGAGTCCCTCCTCTCCTCACCCCTTGCCCATCCCTCCCAAGGGAAGCTGAGCCCAGCCCAGCTGTCTGGTGCTCTGGCCTGGCACCCCACCCTGCTCGATCCCCATTTCTCAGGGAGAGACACAGGGCTCCCCTCACTGGCCTGTTAATGCGGTGAGGGTGGGACCCGGGACAGGTCTGGTGTGGGGAGGGGAAGTTTCCTCCCCTGCTGTGGAGAAGGGCCGATAAGTGACCAGCTGCTGCCATTGCAGGACCATGTGTCCTCCCGTAGCAACCAGCACTGGCTCCTCCTATGTCTGGCTCTGGCTCCCAGCCCCACAAAGCTTCAGTCCCCAAAGGCCTGATCCAAAGGCAGGCGTTTGGGAGGGGACTCCCCCAGCATCCTGGGACACAGCATGGCGGCGTACAAAGGGCTACTAGGTTGATCCCTGTCAGAGGTGCCAGGGCGGTCAGGTTGGGGGGAGGGGTGCAAACGACTCATGATGCTGCATTGGGCAAGGTCCTAACTACCCCATCCCCTTCCCCTTGCCAGTGCTGATGGGATCCCCTTCCTCATGCATGACGAGACGCTCACCCGGACCACAAACGTGCGAGAGGTGTTCCCTGCCCGGGCCACCATGAACGGCACGACCTTTAACTGGACTGATCTCCAGCAGCTCGACGCCGGCAGCTGGTTCCTGCAGGTCAGGCCCCCACCTCTCCGGGGCGTGGCAGGGCTTCTACATTCCTGCGGCTGCTGTGACCTGAAAGCCCTGGCCCTGCGGTGCCCTGCAGAGGGCTCTGCCCTGCTGCACTGATCCAGGCTGCTCTTGGCAGAGCACTGGGACCAGCCGCTCAGAGCCCTCCCGGGGTTCCCAGGCCCTGGAGAGTACTGCTTCTGCAGACTCTAGTGCCCCCTTCCATGGGGTGGGGGGCTACCTTCCAAGCCCCACTGCCTGAGCTGGGAGTTGCTCTGACCTTCCAGAGGCATGGGGAAGGCTGGCTGGGAGGGGTCGGGCTTCTTGGGCAGAGGGATGGGGTAAGCCGTGTCCTGGCTGGGCTCGGTGCCCACCTACACAGTGATGCTTTGGTTAGCACCTAACTGCAGCGCTGCTCTGGTCTCCTGCAGGTGGCAAGGCGACCTGTTCTCCCTCTGTGCCCTTGTCCTGGGGTCTGAGCAGCTGCTCTGCCGTGCTAGCGAGCACTGGGGGGTGCTGTGGGTGCAGGAGGAGCACCCTTGGGCGCTGGTGTTGAAGGGGCAGTGTGGGAGGCCTGGGGCCAGCTGGGAGCAGTGCCGCCCATGCGGGGGAGCTGTTGACTCTGGCCTGTCCCTTCCAGAAGAACCCGTTCCGCTCGGTGCAGGGCCTCTCCAGCGAGGAGAAAGGCCAGGCGAGGACACAGAAGATTCCGACCCTGCAGCAGGTGCTGCAGGAGGCCAAGCAGCACAACGTCTCCATCATGTTCGACCTCCGGCCCGAGAACCACACGGACTACCAGAGCTTTGTTAACGTCACCGTGGAGACCATCCTCCAATCGGGCATCCTGCCGCAGCTGGTGAGCCTGGCTCTGCCCCGGAGTCTGATGCCTGATGGGCAGCCGGAGGAGGGAATGGCTGAATGTCCGGGCCAGACGTCCTCCCGCAGGGCTCCCTGAGCCTGCCCTTCACCAGCAGTGAGCTCCCCACCCCATAGGGCGGGTCAGACCCACCCTAGAGACTCCCTGAGCGTGCTCAGGATCTGCCCTTACCATGATTCCAGGTACCCTGAGTTCCCCAGCATAGGCCCTCTGTGCCACAGCACCCTATTGCAGGCAGGCTGCCAGACTAGCTGCTGCCCTGGGCCAGTTCCTCGGGGCCTGGGGTGCTTTGTAGTACGGTTTATGCCCTAACTGTGCAGGGAGAGATGTAAACTTACGGGGGACTCCCTGCTCCTCCTCCCCCATGTGTAAACAGTGACTCAGAACAGGCGTGGCCATGAGCCAAGTTGGTGCTGAAGCAGGAAAATCAACAAGCTGCCACCTTTGTACCCCCTGCTGCTACCACACCCTGCAGCTCCATGGCTCCCTGACACTACGGCCACCTTTTCAGTCCCTCCGCCCCCAGCCCTTGGGTGCTGGATATACATGACCCTGCCAAGACCAGCCTGGCATCTGGGTTCACTGCCCCTTCCTGCTCCTGCTCCCCATTTAGGGAGGAATTATTCATGACACTCTGTTTACTTTGCAGACACAACATGCCCTTGAGTAAGGTGCCTACAGGCTCTCTGCCCAGTGGGTGCCCTCTGCCCATGACCAGGGGCGCTGGAACAATGTGTGCAGTGGGGGTGCTGCGAGCCATTGAACCCAACTGAAACCTTGTATTTAATGGAAACCACTTCATGCCATAGGGTGCTGCACACCCGCACCTCTCGTTCCAGCACCTATGCCCAGGACTCGCTGGGTGCAGGGGCTCTGAAGGGGTTGTTGGGGCTCTGAGCCAGCCCCAAGTCCTGGGCACATCTTGGCCAGTCCTAGCTGGCCCCCATCATGCCTCATCCAGGTCTGTCACTCCCAGACCTGCTGGGGAGACTCCATGGCAGGTGGCCTGGTGAGGACTCTGCTGGGGCCAAGCACCAGATGGGTGCACAGAGAGGGGGCTGGGATGCGCACGTCCGTGCGGCTGGCCCTGCAGCCTGGGTCCCAGAGCACAGCGAGCGCCCCCTGGTCTCCCAGCTCACTCCAGGCCTGATTTCCCCCCAGGTTCTCTGGCTGCCTGACGGGTTCAGGGAGCAGGTCAGACGGCAGGCACCAGGCTTTCAGCAAATCTACGGTCTGAAGAGCAGCTGGAATGAAACAGAGTCTCCGCTGCGTGTGAACCTGCCATACCAGGACATCAGCACGGAGGAGATTGGGTGAGAGCCCCTTGTTGGGGAGCACAGAGCAATGGCGCCTCAGCGGCTCAGCCCAGCAGAGGCAAGTCTAGCTCCCCCTATGGCCACCTACGCATCATAGAATCTAGAATATCAGGGTTGGAAGGGACCTCAGGAGGTCATGTAGTCCAACCCCCTGCTCAAAGCAGGACCAATCCCCAATTAAATCATCCCAGCCAGGGCTTTGTCAAGCCTGACCTTAAAAACTTCTAAGGAAGGAGATTCTACCACCTCCCTAGGTAACGCATTCCAGTGTTTCACCACCCTCTTAGTGAAAAAGTTTTTCTCTGCATCCTGACGCCCTGGCTGGCAGCAGAGCTCGAACCCCAAACACACAGGTCTCAGCCCCGAGCACGGGGAGCACTGGGTGGGAGCCAGGCTTTCCCAGTTTCTGCTGACCTGTGCCACACTAACGAGGCTCCATCCCCTCTGCAGCCGGTATCGCCAGGACAACGTCTCCATCAATCTGTATGTGGTCAATGAGCCCTGGCTCTTCTCCGTGCTGTGGTGCGCAGGGGTCGGCTCCGTCACCACCAACGCTTGCCAGGTGCTCAAGGAGATGAAGCGCCCTCTCTGGCTGCTCGTAAGTGAACCTACCCTGGGTGGCGCTGGCAGAGGCCTGCATGCCCTGAGCCCACCTGGCCCGTCTGCAGTGCCACTCCCCAGCGAGGGGGCCAGGGCCTGTTCTGCCGGGGCTGTGGTCCCCATTGAACTACTCATCCTGTCTTGTTGCCTTGCAGCCCCGCAGCACGTACCTGATGGTCTGGATTGTGACAGACTGCGTCTCCTTCCTCCTGATCCTCTCTGCCTTCCTCCTGCTGCAGTAAGTTCAGCCTCTTCTGGGTCCCGTAGCTGTCCATGGCATAGGAGGCCTCATGTCTGCTGCCCTCTGGGTGAGCTGTAGGTAGGGCAGGGGCTGCCCGGCCAGGGGCTGCTGCGGTCACTCACCCACCCTCTTGATCTGGGAGAGCCGCTCAGCAGCGCTGGGAGCTCACTTCTCCCGCCTCGCACGGTGCTAACCTGGGACACAGCGGGCTCAGAAGGAGCTTTCCTCCCTGGCCTCTGCTATGAGCCTGGCCCTGAGCTGCTCCATCCCACTGCTGTGGGACTTGGTCACAGCTTACTGGCTCCACCTGCAAGGTGGGCCTGGCATGGAAGCCCTCCAAGGGGACTCGAGTGACTCCATTGCCCTGGGACCCTCCATGGCTCATTATGGTTGGCAGGAGCTCCCGTCCCATTCCAGCCATGGCAGAAAGGCCGCTACCAACTCAGAGCTCAAACCACAGTGGCCAAGTGATGGGGCAGAGCCCTGGGGGAGCAGCCCTGGCCCTGGGTGTGGGCTGATCTCCCTGTGGCAGGGCCTGAATGGTGACACACACTCTCCTGAGTGAATTTCAATCCTGTTTGCTTTCCAGGAAATGCTCCAGGAGAAAAGAACCGGCAGGTAATGGGCCCCTACTCTCCGCCCTGCTCCCTCCTTCGGTCCCTCTCCTCACCACACCCTCTTGCTGCTGGTGGTCTTCCCCTCCCTCTTCCTCTCAGATCACTGGCTCTCCTCACCTGCAGGGCCAGGCCCTTGCCAGAGCTTAGCTCCCAGGGGCTCTCCCCACCCCACACTGAGCTTTCGGGGGGCTCTGCCAGCAGGAGAGTCTGGGCCCAGAGCCTAACTCTCCTGACAGAGTGAGAGGGAGCTGCACCCCACCTCAGCCCTGTGGGGGAAAAGGGGAAGGAGCCCAGCCAAGGGAGCTCCCATCCTGCCTGCTTCCCGAGCAAGTGCTACTCCCTGAGATGATGAGGGTGCAGGGGGGCCAGGCAACACCTCCTGCAGCAGCAGCTGCCTCCCACCCCACGATTGTTGCTGGGCTGGGGCAGCCCTGGGGAGGGCGGAGGCTCCTGGAATGACCCTTTCTCCTGTTTGGTTCCCCAGGGTCCAAGACAGACGTACTGCTAACGAAGATTAACAGCCTCATGCAGGAATGATGGCCAGCCCCCGCAGTGCCTGGTGGTGGAGGGGTTTGAGCTGGGCACGGTGGTGTTTAGCAGGGAGCACCCAGACTTGCTTCTGCCAGCCTTGAATGCCCTTTCCTCTGCAGGGCCCTTTCCAGGCCGTGGGCTCCCCACAAACCCTCAGTCTCTGCCCTGTTCTGCTGGGGCTGGGTTTATCCTGCCCCCATGGGCACATCTCCCCTGCAGGTCAGGGGCCTGTGCAGAAACCCCCTCGGTGATGGGTCTGTCCTGGAGTAGGCAGGCATGTGTTCACCTGCCCACGGGGGCAGAGCTGGGGGTGGACACCAAGACCTTGGCCTTGCAGCCTCCTGGGGCTGTGGGAACAGATACTGTCCTGGAGGCTGCTTGCTAGACCAGCTGGGATTCTCCTTGGTCATACCCTGCTGGGCAGGGACTGGTGCAGCTGCTGCTGATGTGAACTGACTTTTCCTGTCTCCTGAAGCATGGCTGCAAAGAGACTGCTAGAGGTGGGAGGGGAGCCTGGAGGGTTTCGTTTACAGGGAGCCAGGTTTAAAGAGCTCCTGGCCTTGTGCCATTGGGGAGCCTAGGACTAGTCTGGGGAAAGGTGAAGGGGCAGGAGTGCATCACAGGCCCAGTCAGCTGGGCTGCAGCGTGGGGATCTTAGTGCAGCAGGATGGAGACGAAGGGTCCCTCACAGAGCAGAGGAAGCCATTATCCTGGGTGAGGCTTTGGCACTGGCCTCTAGGCAGGCATGCAGGAGGCAGCAGTAGGCCCAGCCCCATGAGACCCCGACCCTCCTTGTCCAGTGGCAGAGATGGGGTTCAGCTTTGGATGGAGGGGATCGTGTGGGGGGCTGTCTTTCCAGAGAGAACACAGGTGCTGGGTGAAGGCCCCCAAAGCACCACCCTGGACTGGGTGTGGAGCTATTCTGCTGGGTGGGGGGTGCTGGGGCATGAAGCAGCGTGGCCTCTCCAAGATCTCTTTGCTGCAGAGGTCTCAGCAGCATGCGTCTGTTTTACTTGTTCTTAATTATGTATGTTAATAAACTGACCCAACCGGATAAAAAGACTGAACGACTAGCATGTCTGAGCTGATTCTCAACTCCCCAAAAGGGACCCGTGGCTCTAGGAGCTGGCATCCGTCAGCTCTTCAGGGGCAGGCTGTCCCTCTCTCCTCTCCTCTCTGGAAAGCGCCTGGCCCAGCAGGGGTGTTGGACCAATTAGATGAGGAATCCCTGCTTATACTAGTAAGGTAAGAGGGTCCAGCAACAGCTCAGAGCCAGTGCCTCACCGCACGGAGAGCGTGAGTAGGGGAGATCCCAGCTCTGCGCCAGGCCTGCTGGGGCCTGGGCTACACCCAGCCCTGCTCAGTGCTCTGCTTTCCCCATCTGTAAGACCTAGAAGCTGCAGCAAGTTGGAAGGATTAGTTCATGGTGGCTGGTCAAGTGCTACCTCAGCTGGGCTGTGCAGGGGCATTAATGGCAGCCCTGAGCAGTGCCCTCAGCAGGGCCAGAGGGCCCACAACAGCCCCATGTGTTCTCACTGAGCACTGGCCCTGACTTTGGGTACCCACCTGGGGCCTGATTCCCAAGGGCTCATCAGGATCTGTAGGCACTTGGCACGTCTGCGGATCAGGCCTGAGGTGGGCATCAGCATTAGGAGCTACTTCTGGAAAACTGGACCTTTCCGTGGGTAAGGCTGGGAAAAGCAAACATGTGAGCTGTGCTATTTGTGTTGTGTCCCCACCACCTAGTGCCGAAACAAGGAACAGGCACCTCTAGTTACTGCGGTATTGTAGCCGAGAGACAAGGGGGGTGAGGCAATGTTAATGGACCAACTGCTGCTAGGGAGAGAGACAAGCTTCGCAGACCCCTCTGTATCTGACCTATCAGTCCTCATCCTCGAAGGAAACCTGTGCATGACCGTCAACAGACAAGCCTGGGAGCTTAAATTCGTAACTTGGCTAGACCCTACAAATCATGGACTGAACAGAGGTGCTGGAGTTATAGCTTTATGATCTTTAACCTACTAACCCCCATCTTGGTCCTGTGACTGGGGGGTGTTAACAGGCCCCTGTACCTTGACTGGTGCCTTAGAACATGTGCTAGCTTAGCATACGTAGTTATCTGTTCACTCTTGTACTGAGCTGGGACACGGAGTTCCTTTCCCAGGCCTGGACAAGAGCTCACGGTAGCTCCAAAGTTTTGTCTCTCACCAACAAAGGTCCAATAAGAGAATCCCTCACCCCATTATAGTTAAAACACTCCAAGCTCAGGGGAGGGAGAATGGAGTGGGAACAGGCTCAGTAGTGACAAGTGTCCGATTTAAAGTTATTTCCAGTACAAGCTCTGATGGCAGAGGGTTTAAGTGTAACCCTTCTGCCTGTCAGAGTTGGCAGCAACAAGGGCCGGGTTCAGTATCTAGGGGATCCATTCCAATAACACAATGCAAAACCGGCTTGAGCCCCCACCCAGTGACCTGGGACAAATATATACCACCCCCGCTGGGTGCCTCTAAGAGCTAATACTTCCCCTCTCGCAAGCACATAGTCTGAGTGTAACAAAAAGCCTTTTAATAACAGAAACAATGTAGCATTATGTTGGGGAAACACCACCAACAGGATTCATAACACAACCCATGAGCAAACACCCCCCCCAAGCAAATTGGGGCATGTCCTTTCCCTTTGGTTCTTGAGTCCAGCAACCCAAAGTCCCAAAAGTCCAACGACCCAAAAGTCTCTGTCCCTGGTCAGGGCAGCCCCAGAGTTCAAAACTCTGCAGAGTTTTACCTCCCAACCTGGGTGGAGATTGGAGGGTGGGGGAGTTAAGGGGCATCTTACATGGTCCAAAGCTGATGACCCCACCTCTCCATGGGGCTCCGCTCTACCAGCCACCCCATGGGCTGCTCTAGGCATCTAACAAACTGCTCTGCTCCACCAGCCGCTCTGCTCACCGTCCTGCAAACTGCTCCACCATATATCTTCAGGCTCCCCCACTACTTAACACAACGCTCAGTAATTTCAGCTCTTAGTAAGTTTAGCTCTTTTGTGATTTCAGCTTGTAGTAGGGGAGCCTCAGTGCTGGTGCACCATTGGCCTAAAGTGAATTTCAGCTCAGCAGCCTGTAACTAGACTCCTAATGGAATCAAAATTAGCTCTGATATTCCACAGTGGAGAGAGAAGGGAGTGCAATTAGCATGTGGGGACCCATATCACCAAGTATTAATACCTATCCCCAACCTCTCTCAATTCAGAGTTTTGGAACCCATGTCCCTTGCCTAGCGAGTGCTATTTAGTTGATGGCGAGTCCCTCCATTATAACAAAAGGCCAAGTACAGTTCCATTGTCCTTGATTCCCATAATCAGGGTAATAACAATTTATTCTTCCTGCCCCAATAACAGAGACACTGGGGATCCCACAGCAGCCAAAGTGACCATTTGGGCAGCTGTGGCCTCATTCTAGGCGGGGTAGGTGTGCCTATGCAAATGAGATTGGCCCCTGAAGTTCTTTTCCACAACTTGCCACACCTCACCACCAGATGTCAGGGTGGAGCTCATCCTGACACTGCTTACATCAGCATGCGGAGTTGGGGCTGGAGCTGGGCCTTGGGCCTCTGCCTGAATCAACTGGCCTCTGGGAAGTGTGAGCACAAGGAGGGAAAGGAGGATTCCCCTGACAGCAAAATTTCTAGGGCCCCTGTCGAACTGCCCCCTTGCTCCAGACATGGGAAGCTGTGTGACCTAGTAATAGCCCAGCTCCAGAGAAAATAGGTCTGAATTTAGCAGTGTGCAGAGGTACTGAGTGTGCACCTCAGAAGCTGAAGTTGTGAATGGGCTGGGCACCAGAACACTTTCCAACCTGTGCAGGCAACTTTCCAGTTCGTCTGGGTTCCTGCTGTACTCCCTGTAAAATGCTCTCTCTGCACTGGGGAGGGTGCACAGGCCTAGGAGCTGGCTCTCATCCATCTCTTCTTGAGTGTATGAAGTTCTGATACCTTCTGTTTTCTATGTACTGCACCTTTCAATGTCTAAGCACCCTCTCTCTGGAGGAAGGTTAAGCAACCATCTTGTTCTCAGTTGCTGCAGCTTGGTACAGAGGAGAGGTGAACGCTGTGAGGGACAGTGAGCAGAGGCAATAGTTGGGAGGGAGGGAACACACCTCCTTCCTAGATCCATCCTGGGCTCTCCTTCCTGCACCCCTAGGGCCACTTCCCAGGTCTGCTCTAAGAACCAGCATGCTTAGGAACCCCTGGCAGCTGCCTTGCTCTGCTGTACTCGAAGCTGCAGCTCTCGAATCCATTCCAGTCCAACTGCTGCCCTCCCCATAGCAGTGGGGTCCTGTATCTCAGCAGCCTAGCTTATGGAGTCTTATTGTCCCAGACTGCAGCCCTGCACTTTGGCAGCCCGCTCTCCCTGTGTGCCTCATGCTGGGCCACAGGCCTCCAGCTAAGAGTTGTGCTGATGGCACCCTTGAGTCTCCATCCCTGGCTTCCTGCTGTGCTGCCTTTTGAGTTCTCTCCATCCCCTTGAACTGAGTGTTAACCAGGCTGGATGTGGGAGATCATCACACTGTCCATCTTCCCCTCTCAGTTCTGCCTATAGATGCTGGAACTAGGGGCGCTGGGGGTTGGCCACATACCCTGGCTTGAAGTGGTTTCCATCACGTGCAGGGTTTACAGTTTGGTTCAATGGCTCTCAGCACCCACACTGCACACATTGTTCCAGCACCCCAGGTCTGCCCTCCTTTCACCCCTCGATCCTGACCCTCAGCCCTGGACTGCTCTGCCCAGAGCTCTGCCAGTGCCCCTCAGGCCTGACCCATGACCCCCTTGTTATCCCAGCCGTGGGCTTCCCCTAGCTCTGCTAACGGCCCCCAACGTGCACCCCCCCCCTTACCCTTAATTCCCAGGCCAGCTTGCACTAGTTGGGGTGAGGTCCAATTATGTGCCGTGGTTTTGGTGAAGTCCTGTTAGGGCAGAGGCCCCCAACCTGTGGGGCGCACTCCCCAGGAGGGCACAGAGGAATGTTAGGGGGGGAGCAGCTGGGGCCTGGGCAAGCCCCCACAGGGGGATGGGGTGGGAGTGCCACTCCACTCCGCTCCTGGCCTTGCCCCCAGCTCTTACCCCTGTCTGTGTCCCTCCCCTCGCAGAGCTGCAGCCCCACTCCCAGCCCTGGCTTGGGGGGCGGGGCATGGACAGGGGTAATGGGGGGGCACGAGGTAAAAAGTTTGGGGACCACAGCATGCGGGTGACCAGGCGGCAAGTGTGAAAAATTGCGACCGTTTTTTTCTGGGGGAGGGAGTTACAGGTGCCTGCGTATGCGACGCCCCTAATATTGGGGTGCCTGGTTCCCTAAGTCCCATGCCTGGCTGGACTGAGCCCCCCCCCACTGGCTGCAGGGCCTGGCTTCCCTCTCCTCTGGCAGCGCCGGGGTTAATGCCCGGCCCAGCCCAGCACCCACTTTAGGGCAAGCCCTGAAGGGCTGAGGGAGGCCGGCCGGGCTGGGCCGTGCGGGGCCAGGCCTGGGGGGCAGCGCCCAGCAGTGGCTGCAGGCCCCCCTTCCCTGCAGGCCAGGGCCCCCGGGCAGCCAGGCAGGCCAGCCCTCGCTCCATGGCTGGGCCCGCCCCTGAGCCCAGCCCAGCCCCCTCCACTCCACTCCACACACAGCCCGGGGCGACAGCAGGGAGCCTCGGCTCACCACTGCCCTGGCAGGCAGCGTTGGCCTGTGCCCGGCCCGAGGGGCTCAGCTGGGGCTGCCCCGGGGCACGGTCCCAGCACTGGCCAGGCTGAGGGGTAGCCGGGGGGAGAGGGCCAGGTCCCAGGCAGCAGGAGCCTTTGCGGCTGGAGCTGGGGAAGGAGGCAGCCAGGTCCTTGTATCGCTTTCCCGTGGCAGGGCCAGGCCCGGGGGTCCCAGCCGCTAGCCCCCTCCAGGGACCGGCCCGTGGGGCTGACATGAGGGCAGGCTCCTGGGGCCACAAGCACTGGAGGAAACCGCTGCAAAGGGACCTGCAGCCCTGCCCAGAGGAGAGATGATCAGTAGGCAAGGTAAGGACGGGAGGCCCGAGCCCTGGCCAGCC